TACAAAAATCGTGATTTCATATGGGTTAGCCCAATACAAAGAATGCTACAGCAAGTGCTTTCTTTAATAAGCACACGCTATTCAAATACTATTCTCAGTGCTTTAAAAGTATTCATTTAAAGTCAGTCCTTGGCAAAACCCTTTGAAGTAAAAACTGTTATCGTCATCATCAACCCCATTTTGCAGATGAAGAAACTGAGGCACAGAAAGATTTAAGTGATTTGCCCAAAGTCACACAGCTGACAAGTGGGAGAGCTGGGATTTGAACAGGGCGAGGAGTAAATTTCACAAGCATGAGGACATAAACTTGTGCTTCTCTGTCCCTTGTCCTTGGCCATTTATCTTCAGGCCCACATGACCTGAAGTAGAGGCTAAATTCTTGGAAGTGACCTTGCAGGTTAAGAAGGTGCTTTTTTTTTTTTTTTTTTTTTTTTTAATATATTTTATTGATTTTTCACAGAGAGGAAGGGAGAGAGATAGAGAGTTAGAAACATCGATGAGAGAGAAACATCGATCAGCTGCCTCCTGCACATCTCCCACTGGGGATGTGCCCGCAACCCAGGTACATGCCCTTGACCGGAATCGAACCTGGGACCTTTCAGTCCACAGGCTGATGCTCTATCCACTGAGCCAAACCAGTCTCGGCAAGAAAGTGCTTTTCAATTATGCTGTTGCCTGAGGGACCAGGAGCTGGCCAGGGAGCATGGGGTGATTTCCTGGCTAAAGGAACGTGACCTCTACCCGGCCCCACCCCCCACTCTTGCCAGTGAGGCAGCTGCAGCTGGTCAGAACCCAAGAGGCGGGAGCCCACACTGGGCTCTTTGTCTTCGGTGGGAACCTTGTGGCCCCCACGGCCCTTCTCAAGGGCCCACTGTCCCAACACCAGCAGGACCGCCCAGGGGCCAGGCCCGGCTGGGAAACTTGGCACATTGGAGGCCCCTTGGCCAGCCTGCCAAGTGGACATGCAGAGCCCACTTATGAATCATTCCTACTGAAAAGACAGACTCGAGACAGAGGGCCGTGTCCTCGGGGGTGCAGCAGCCTGGATGTGGCTGGAGTCCTGGGCCCCAGCCCTGGCACCGAGCACACCCCCATAGCCCAGGCCTAGCTTCTGGTCCTCCCCTCCCTCCAGCTCTCTGCCCTCCTTCCCCACTGCCACCACTCAGGAAGGAGAGACTTCCTCCCTTCTCAGGCCAACCTCAGTGCCCCTCAGAGCCATAGTGGACTGCCCTGTCGAGGAGTGGACATCCCTCACTGCCCTGGGCTGGTCCCTCCACCCTCTGCCCTGGTTCCGGAGCACCCTGCCAAGAGGGATCCAGACCCTCCTCTGAGAACCAAACCCAGCGGGTAGTTCTAAGGGCAAGGAAATCGCGCCTGCCCTGCTGGGAGTCTGAACTCTGCAAGGGGCTCTTGAGGGCTCCTCTGCCCACCAGAGTGGGTAGAGAGGAGATGGCCCCAGGGTGGGGGCAGAGGAGAGGCTGGGGGTGGACCCCCCAAGAGAGCAGTGATTGCTGTGATCTGGGGTCTTCATCTGAAATGGGGGAGGCTGCTCCACCACCTCCCCCTGCCGCATGAGGCGAACGGTGGAGCCCTGTACCCAGACCAGGGAAGATGGTGCAAAATGAGCCCTGGCCCAGGGCGCAGGCCGAACAGTTCCTGAAAGGCTTTTAAGAATCCCTTACCCTGTCATCATGCCCCTTTTCGTCCTTCCTTCTGTGTCCCTCACTGCATCTGCTCCCTGTAGTCCGTTTAACCAGAAAACCCCATAGAAAACCTGAAAGCTCTGGTGACTTCCCTGGGTGCAGAAGGTGGGGAATAATCCCTCCTCCTTTGGGGCGCAGAGTGGGCATTCTGGAAGGTGAGCCCTGGGGGGCAGGGCCAGTGCCCCCTGTCATCTGGGGCAGGAGAGGCAGCTTCCTGTTGGGTGGGCTGAACTGTGAGCGCTGGGTGAGTTGGGGGCAGAAGAGGGGCTCAGAGTGTTTGTTGAGTGAATACATGACCAGCTGTAGGACCCGGCCCCGCAGGAACCCAGGCTGGGATGACTTTTCAAGAGGAGGGTGGGGCATCTCCATTCCTGCCCCTTTGGCCTCCTCCTCACCAGGGAGAGGGGGATGAGAGTGAGCAAAGAAGGGCTTTTGAAGGCTCTGTTCCTTCTTGTGGGTCCCCCCCCAAGTTTTACATATTCGTTCCTTTTTTAACACTTTATATTTTATTTTTTCCTTTTTATTGGGGTGACACCGGTCCGTTCCTTCTTTCGCTCTCTCGTTTGCCTGAGCAGAGCTTCTCTCCTAGTGTGGGACCCCTGCAGCTGCTATTCATTAAGCATTACTGCATTAACTCAGTCCATTACCGCAAGGTGGGGCGGGGGGGCGGGGGGGGAGATTAGTCCCATTTTACAGACGAGAAACTTGCGGAACCTACGCGGAGGGCAGAGACCTGCCCACGTTGCGACCATTGACCCCGGATTCCAAGTTCTTGACCCGACCAGCTGCCGTGATGACGGGGGCAGATCCACCCACAGCTCTAGCGGCGGGTGAAGAAGGTGCCGCCCCCAAAGGAGGGTCTGCAGCCCGGTGCGCCCCGGGTCTGGGGTGAAGGGTGGGTCTCGTCTAACCCCGCCTCCCTCCTTCCC